AACTCTAAAAAATATTTTACAAACATTGAAGTAAAATTTTTGAAAAAATTCTGTAAAATTATCAATCATTGATAAATTTTACCTACGTCCGACCCGTTCCGTTGACGTCTATTTAAAAGAACGGCAACTCTAAAAATTGCAAAATCGTAAAATCATGGTTACTCCCCTTTGATGATGCAAAATATGATGTAATTTCAAGGTCATTATTGTGATATTTTTATCACAACGTGAAAATAAAAATCGGCATCATTAAAAAGTTTAAATCTTCACCTTTAAGACAGAAACAAGTAAAAACACGGGGAGACTTGGGTTCAATGAAAGTTTATTGCTTAAAGTTGTCCGAAGCAAGGTATGTGTCCGATGCATGATTAACTCACCCTAAAGACATTGTAGACAGGATGATAATGCCATCAAGCACATGCATGCCCGTGCGCGCGTGTGCCATATGTGAAAAGACTAATATAATTGATATAGTCGGTTTTTTTTTTGTTTTGTTTTTGTTTTTTGTTTTTCTTTGGTTTTTTGTTTTATGAAATGCTTTGATACTCAGAATATATAGATATATGAAAAGTGTAGACAAGATGACATGGTCATCATGCACATGCATGCACCATCGCGTTTGCAGTGGGTAAATGACAAATTTACTTGATACAGCCGTAACTTATATATTTTTTGATGAAATGCTTTGATACTAAGAATATTAAGATGTATTAAAAGTGCAGACAATTTGACTATATCATTATGCACATGCATGCACGTGCGCGCGCGTGTAGTGCGTAAAACGACCAATATACTTGATTGCTTTATATAATGAAACTCACAGGGAATAAGACTTCAAAAGGGAGTTGGGGAGCGTTTGGGGAACATCTGTAACGGTCCCCGTTACAATAAAAACTAGTTTCTTAATTGCGATTGATAGTTTGATTGCAATAAATCTTGCCACAAAAAGAGACTAAGCGTAGGATCATTACTCTATTTATTGTTGTTGCAAAGTTCAAAGTTTGTCCAAATGCCTCTTTTCTCTTCCTTTGTTAAAAGTACAAACCAGTAGAACTACAGTCTCTGGTTTTAATAACCTCAACAAAGTTGGACTAGAACTTATGTAATGCCCTAGGCATTACATCGGTGTCCCAGGTTCGAGTTTTTAGATCAGATTTCTTATTGTTTTTTATGCTTTATATTGATCTTCACTATTCACTATACAAATGAGGTTTGAGGTGCTGCATTTCAGCTATTATTTTCCAAAAAAAAAAAAAAAATGACCAAACAAACGAAGTACATGTAAATATTCTCGAAGCAGGTTCCATTCTCAAGGTACTATAAGTCTGGGCCAAATTTGCAGAGATGATGCATCTAGTGATGAACATTACCAGATTTGCTTTAGATGATGGATCTGACCTACATTTTGTGGATGAATGACCAGGTGACAGCTTCTGGAAGAGATTTCTTCTAAATAACTTAAAGCGGTATGATGACCAAACTTGTTTGTTTGTTCTATCTACAAGACATGCTTCGGATGCAGAATCTAACGTACATTTTTCAGATCAGTGTACAAGTTCAAGTTTTTGGAGCAGGGTTCGAGTGGGAATGAAAGCATCAGACTTGATTATGAATTGAACAACATTTTTGGATGAGTGAACTGATTAAGTTTTTGGAGCAAGTTCATTCCCATGTAATTATGAGCCCTATTAGGGTCCTACTTGAATTTTCTCCTTTTAGCTTTATATATTTTGTTTTAAATTTGTTATTTTGAAATCTTTTCCGTAGCTTTATATTAGCTCACCTGATCTGAAAGCTCAAGTGAGCTTTTTTGATCACATTTTTTCGTCGTCCGTCTGCCTTTCCGTCCGTCCGTCTATAAATTTTTCAAACTATTAGATATTCGACTTCATCTCCAGTACCATTGAGCCAATTTCAACCAAACTTGCCACAAAACATCCTTGGGTGAAGCGGATTCAAGATTGTTCAAATGAAGTGCAGCGCCCTCTTTCAAGGGGGAGATAATTAAGAAATATTGAAAATTTAGTGGTATCTTTTTTGATAATATTCTAAAGAACCACTGGGCCAAAAAAGTTGGAATTATGTGAAGCCTTCTTTACAAAGCGTAGATTTAAATAAATTTGTTCAAATTATGACCTCTGGGGATAGGTTGGGGCCACAATGGGGGCAATCATCAATGAAATATGACAAGGAAAAATCACTGCTTTTTATGTAAGGTTTTTAAAAAAGTGCTCACCGGAAGCGTGTCTGTTATTCTTCATTTATGTGCAGACAATCTGGGGTTTTTTCTCCAGAAAATAAGAATGTGATTATATTTCAATGACGCATGTTTATATTCCTATTTCTTAACCGACATCACATAGGGTGTATACCAGTATACTATCACCTCTGATGTCAGTTCCAGTTGGCGTTTTTGTCCTGTTCACGATTTGTTTTGTTTACTAAAGTTATGATAATGATCACAGCTCGTTATCTTCAAGATTTTTTTTTTTAACATTATATCATATTATACTGTTTATGCATATTTTTTCATGTATTTTTTATCTCTTAACTGTACGTTATAATGTTTACAGCTGTGGTCTTTTTTTTCTCATTCTTCTTTCCTTTTGTTCTTTCTTTTTTCCTTATTTATTTAAATTGTGTGTTCAAAATAGCAATTTAGGCCCGGTGGGCCAGGTGTTTAATTTATTTTTGATCTGTCTGTTAACATAATTGTAACAGAGACATGTATGCGCCTGCACTTGAGATTAAACCCGGGACTTCTCAGGCCCGTAGGAAGCAATTTCACTTCAAGGGGGCACAACCATACATTTTCAGTTGGGGGGGGGGGCACTATCAACTACCAAAATTCCTTGACAAGCAAAAAAAAAAGGTCATCAGACATTATTATTGAGGGGGCACAAGCATAGAGTAAGCATATAGTAGCTATGTTTTCTATAGTATTCTATATATTGGCAAAATTATTGGGAGGGGGGCACGGTCCCCCGTGCCCCCCCCCCCCGGTTCCTACATGTACGGCCATGCTTCTAACATGTCAGTCCAGTGTTCTCGAGGTAAGGTGTATGCCGTGTATCGTACATTACCACACTATCCCCCTCCAGGAACGGGGAGGGGGGCACCCCTCAAGAATAGCGTCTATAATGCCCCCCCCCCTTTTTTTTGCTTGTCAAGGAATTTTTGGTAGTAGATACACCAACTGAAATGTATGGTTGTGCCCCCCCCCCCCCACCCCCAATGGAATAGCTTCCTACGGGCCTGCCAGACCTCATCTCTTTTTGATGTGCCAGCGCCTATGGGGCGAAGATCTGGGAGCAATCACTTCTACCCGCTAGAGAATACCCAGGTCCCAGCATGGGTGCCAAATGCAACAGATTTTGGTTTTAATTAAATACAACACAGCCTGTAGAGGGTTAGGGACAAAACATTATCATTGTCAGATCTGAATCAATCAGTCAATCAAAACCCTGCAATATTATCAATTCATGTATAACAAGAGTTTTAAATACGAGCTTAAAAATATTATACAATGATTGTCATGGGAGATACCGGTAATTCCTTTTACATAGAAAATATATTTTTCTCTATTTGAAAATTATAAATTACTGTTTAATCATTAAATCACGATTAGCATGCCATTCTATGGTTATATTGTTGTGTACATTTGTAATTGTAATGAGTGCATGTATAGATCCACTCACTAGATCTACATTTTTAAATCAAATAAATATAATATATGACACTTATCATACATGTACATAAAATATACATTTCATAATATATTACACAAGTCACCATAACAAATAAATTATTCTTTTTATTACATGTATGTATGCAATTAAAGGAAAATTGATAAAATATGTATCTGCTACATAATTATGGGAATGTACACGTCACTATAAATAAAAGTTACTTAATTTTTACTTTTTTATGGCAGATTAAGTTTTATTATCGTGTTTAATGTGTTTATTTCTGATATCCTTTTTTATCCTTTAACAATTTATTATCCTTGAGCGGGGGCTCATGAAATAAACTGTGAGATGCCTCATAATTTTTTACACATCATTAAATATCGGGATCGACATTACTGTTTATTTGTAAACACAAAAAGATGCTTACAGAACTTTACCGTTTACGTGTAAGAGTTAAGATGCTGTAGTCTGTACACAAACTAAGTGTTGTTTTATGCTTTTAGCTCGAGTACACAAATCAGGTAATTTCTCTAATTAGCAAAAATGTTATTGACACCTGCAAAAGATATCATTACAACATGAACAAGAAATAACGATATTTGATTTGTGACGAGTTACTCCTCCTTGTTTATGTATGGTAAGCGTTAACGTTAGAATATTTTGATATATTTCATGATGTTATTTTCTCAAAATGGTAATTGTGAGAAGTTTTCAAAGATCCTAGAAAGAACCTTCTTTGATTTTCGCTAATTGCAAGCATGGCATGTATTAGTCCGAAATATCTGACGTTTTCCAGGCTTTTTTCACGATTTTGATATTTTACGTGCCAGGAAAACGTCAGAACCGGCGCCATTAAGAAAACTGGAAATTTCGCCTTCTGCAACCGGAGTTGATTTTCGATACTTGCAAACCGAATTAAATGCCGAACTCACAATTTATCGATAGCACAATGCCTCTAGTACTCACCAATATCGATGAAAAGAAAACATCACTCCACATTTCGATACAGGACTTGCAAGATTTTAAAATGCACGAAATGAAAACAAATCTTGACAGTCAGATAAATTGTTTTCATCGAATTGTATATTTTATAAACAAACCATAAAAACGATGTTGGTGAGCACTAAAAAGTATTATACTTTTGATAAGTTGTGAGTTTGACATTTAATTCGGTTCGAAAATCAACCCGAGAATGCCGCCTCCGGTTGGAGGCGGCGAATTCCCAGTTTTCGAAATGGCGCCGGTTCTGACGTTTTCCTGGCAGGTAAAATATCAAAATCGTAAAAAAGCCAGGAAAACATAAGATATTTTGGACTAGACATGTACATGTATATAAGGTTAGACCCAAGTTGCCAAATACTATAGAAAATCTTGAAAATACTGGAATTTCTTTAATGTCCCTTTGGGAATTTTCACTCATATTGATATGCCACCACTTGCTGTGGAGGGCAGCAAATTTAGACCTGGACTATGGGCCTTTGAGCATTGTTGAGCAGTGAGGGAACTTTTTCTTGCCAGCACTTACAGTTACTGTGACACAGGATTTCGGCTCGTAGAGTCTCATCTGAAGAACCAGACTCCATTTCCTGCAGTGGGAATATTGAACCTGCAACATAAAGATCAACTCCTTTCTCTGCACTCTAGAGCGAACACAGTCTTGCCACTGTGCCACACAGGCAGATTTAGGTGAAAATACCTACTGGCTACATATTTCATGAAAACTCTAAATGAAAACAGTTCAAATATCAATAAAACCAAATGAACCAAAATTGAATTTAAATCTACAACAGCATTTACCATGTATCATGTATAGTGTTAATTACTTATTCCAAGCTAATTCTGCAGCTTTTAGAATTTCATATTCAAAACAATCTACTTAGCCAATGCTGACTTTTGTACAAAGACTCCCTAAATGTACAATGTACCACGTGAGCTAGAGTCTCTAGAATCTGCATTAAATTTTCTCATGATACTAATTAAAGGCATATAGTTCTCTGTGTCTGTGTTTAGAAGAAAGAACACATACATGTATGGCCAAGCAGAGCAAATTATATGGGCATTAAATTTCATGATGTTAAGGATAAATAACACAAATAAACTTTTTTTTTCAGAAGTCGGCAATATTTCTCATAAATTTATTTTTTGAATTGGTAACCCGAATAATGTTTGCCAGGTATAGTGGAAGAATTTTATAAGATTTTGTCATAAGGTCAAAAAGTTGAGCAAAATTTTGCATGTAGTTATATAGAAAGCGACACAAAGTCACATTTCTAAGCACCAAAAAATTACGATTTCTTTATATTTTAGGGATTTATTATTTATGTCATTTCTAATTAAAACCAGTCAAAATATACATATCAATCCAGCATCAAATTTTTGTTTGTGTTAAGTATCATTAATTATCAGTGCGCCACAGAGATGCTCTGAGTTGTGTTCTTTTTGCTTTCTATTGACAAAATTCTAAGTAATCTTAAAGTTATAAGTAGAAACCCCCTTGAAAATTTTAATAAACAAAAGAGAAGCTTTGATACTGCCCTATACTTTTTAATTATAATGTTAATAATTATCACTGGAAATTGATCCCTGTTTACATTCTCCAGTTTTTATGTTTTGAGAGTGTTCAACTATTATTTTAGATTAAAGTTAATAATACAAAAAAAGAAGTGCTTAGGACCTTCAGGCAAGGTAGCACTTGCATCAGATGCTAAAACTTTGACCTCCCAGGGGTAGGGTGGGGCAACAAGAGAGGGTCCAAGTAATGCTTAGGAATTTATAGAAAAAATCTTTTAAAATGTTCTTTTCAGTTTCTCTTTAAGAACAGAAAGTTATGATTTGTCATTTTAATACTGAAGCATCCTCATATCATGCAGATAGTTTAAATTCAAGTTTGTTCTCTGCAGATCATGGCCCCTGGGGGTCATCATCTCAAGCCACTGTCCGGAGTCTGCATATAACTCTCCTACCCATGGCTGCTTGATTGTAAATAAACATAAAGTGTCATAATCTTGAATAAATATGCATCTATGTGTGACATCATGTTCTGCCAATGAGTTTATTTCTATTGCAATTGACATTACAATTTAAATCAACAGTAAACAAGAAATGTTTTTTAAACTGTGATCGGGTATTGAAAGGTCACATCAAAGTTCATTTTCCGACTATGCTTACTCACATTAGTCAATATTTTCATGAGCTACAAAATATTTTCATTCAACTACAGCCAGAATAGGGGAGGATTGTACATATATTTTGGCTGTGGTTTGTGACGATGCCTCGGGGAGGCTGGGGCCACATTAGGCAAGTTTTACAATGGAATATAAAGGGGGAACATTTTTTGATAAATCTTCTTTTCAAGAACAGCTAATGCATGATTGGACATATTAATCAGTAAGGGATTTACTTAACAAATATTAATAAAATTTACTAATATGTAGTGTTGCAGTGTCCTTGACTATTATTTCTGTACATTGTAGAAAGGGAACAGGAATTTCTGAATTCATACTCTGTAAAAGATGGAGAAGGAAAGCAACAGCAGAGAATTTTGAAGGTAAAACAAATATCATGACAATGGTATCTGGTAGAAATCAACTGCCTTTTTAGCTGGCCAAAGGCTTTTCTGATCAAAATTTTGACTTTTGTCATTGGTGTTGTCATCATTGTTAACATTGTCATAAACTTTTCACATTTTCATCCTCTTCTCTAGAACCAATGGGCTCATTTCAACCACACTTGGCACAGGGTATCCTTAGGTGAAGTGCTTTCAGGTTTCTTTAAATGAAGAGCCACACCCTCTTCAAAAGGGAGATAATTAAGAATTAGTGAAAAATGGGTGGGCTCATTTAAAAATATTCTTCTCAAGAACCACTTGGTTAGAAAAGATGAAACTTATGTGAAAAGTTGCTGACATAGTGTCGATTCAAGTTTCAAGGTTGTCAGGGCTCAACATTAACTTTAAAATAAACTAGATCAGTGGGGCTTGCACATGAAAGTTTTACTAGACTTGACCTCAACTTCACTAGACATGACCCAATATATGTGGTTCATTGAATTAATTAATATTACAAGAATATGAACATGAAAAAAAATCATAGTCAAATAACATCGTCAATGTAAGCAAATCAATGCTTATCGTAGGTTGGTTTTTGTGCAAAGATAATTATATAATTTAAATTATATTATCATATAAATTTTTTATTGAGTTCAAGAAAATATCAGAATGGTGGATTTATAATCATTATATTTCAACTCAATTCAGTTCTAGAGCTGGTTAAATTACTACAATAACACATACCGTACAACAGTTGTCGTAAATAAAATGACCAAGCAGGAAGGTTAAATTTGGGTATAGTTAGCATTTACGAGAAAATCAAAGGGCGGCACTATTAAAATGATATTGAATCACATTTATATACAGTCAAGCCTCGTTATCTCAAACTTCACGAAACCAAGAAAATAATTGAGATATCCAAGAATTTGAGACATCCAGGGTAAAATACTTCAGAAATAAGCACTTGGGACTTCAAAATCAATTCGACATATCCATGGTATTTGAGATATCCGTGTTGGAGATACCGATGTTCAACTGTACTAATAATAGTGTATTTAATTCTCGTTCACAATCATTAAACAGTTATAGTACATGTACAACAAAATTAGTAGAGTTTTTATGGTTATTTTATTTTTCATTGGGATCGAAAAATGAAAGTGAAACCTTGATCTGAAACATCAATAAACAAGAAAATTTTGTAAGTTTTGCTTGATTTGAACTTTGATCAAAATATTTTCACTGACCAGTCGGGCTACCTTGAAGCAAAATAAACTAGACCGGACCAAACTTTTACCAGTCTGAGTCAGCCGGACATGCCTTAATGTTGAGCCTTGTTACAGTATGAGGAAAACACCCTTAGGCTAGACATTTATAAAAACAGTTCAACTTGCATTCATTTTGTGTTCAGCATTCACATTGCACTAGTGTTTGCACTCTATCTAGATTTTGCCTTTTCTCATCATTCATTTAACATGCTTAACATTTACCAAGCTGTGTTTACACACCATTCACTCTGCATTTGTTAATCTTTTGTTCATTGTTTGCTCATTGTTCAAATGGGAAAGTAGAATGTTTCATGGACTGTAATTGGTAAAAAGTTTCATGTACAAATATACCGGAAAATGTCTTTAAAAATCTTCTCAACAATAGCAAAGACATAATTAGTCACATTAATCTTATTGCACCCTCAGGTATTAAAAATTCAAGTTTTTATTTTTGTTTTTGAAATTAGGACTCAAAAGTGAAGGGGGGAGGGGGGGTATTATATTAATCAGTTTTACAATACATAGGTATAAAAAGGGGGAAAATCTGCTGATAAAGAACAGTAGGGTCATGGTTAGTCAGGTGAGCGTTGTGGCCAAATGACCTTTTGTTTTATGTTTGCATACTTTTTATTATGACATTTTAATCAAGTGCAGTTGAACTTCAGTATCTCGAACATGGATACCTTAATTACCATGGATATGTTGAAGTGATTTCGAAGTCCCAATACTTATTCTTTAAGTATTTTACCCTGGATATCTCAAATCCTCTGATATCTCGAAGTTGTTTCTTAGTTCAAGATAACAAGGTTTGAATGTATTTAAAAAAAATGTACTCTGACAATTATTATGTAGTGTTACACTTTCTTTATGAACATATATGTATTAATGTATGATGCTGATTGTGGTATTTATCTTCAATATCACAAGGCATTGCAAGTGATATAGCATTTAAACCTTTCTTTTTGTCAAATTTTCAGAGGAGAAGGCAATCTTTTCAACCAGATCACATATTCAAAGCCATGCCGAAAAGTTAATCAACCAAATTCCTAATGACAACCAAACGAAGAATTTAGAAAAGCTCAGGAATACACGTGTAACTGAGAAGTCCCATGAATGTTACATTTGCTTGAATAAGTCAGCTCCTTTGAATCACTTACAAAGACACATAGATGTGATAAACCTTATAAATGTGATAGATGTGAGGATGCAATTAAGCATTCAAGTAACTTAGATAGACATGGAAACCTATAAAGGTGGCAATACTTATCTATGTGATGTGTGTGGGAAGGAATTCACTAGAATAGGTAACTTAGAAATACACACAAGGATTCATACTGGTGATAAACCTTATAAATGTGAGATGTGTTGGAAGGCATTCTCTACAACAGGTCAGCTACAGGCCCACAGTAGGACACATACAGGTGATAAACCTTATAAATGTGATACCTGTGGGAAAGCATTTAAGCATTTAAGTCACGTACAGACACACATGCGGACACATACAGGAGGTAAACCTTATAAATGTGGTGTTTGTGGAAAGGCATTCAACCGTTCAGGGCACTTAAAGAGTCATAGGAGGATACATACCGGGGATAAACCCCATATATGTGATATATGTGGAAATTCTTTCACCCAATCAGGTTCCTTACAGGGTCACATGAGGATACATACAGGTGATAAACCTTTTAAATGTGAAGTTTGTGGAAAGGCATTCAGCCGCTCAAGTACCTTATACACACATATTCAGATCCATACCGGTGATAAACTTTTTACATGTGATGTATGTGGAAAGGCTTTCAGGCAGTCCGGTACCAAACAGAGACATATGAAGACACACACAAAGCCATATGAAACACACAGGTGATAAACCCAGCTGATAAACCTCATAAAATATAAAAATGTGAAAAACCATATAAAGCATACAGGTGGTAAACAGTATAAATGTGATCCAAGTCAGAAAATGCTCAGTGGGAAAAAAGGATTTTAAGAACTTTTCAAGTTTAAGGTGGCTTGCTAATTCAGAGACAATGTAGCACATATCTATGTAAAGTTCTATACATAAATGTGAAATGTGGTGGAAAATATTCAGTAAATCAAAGCATATACATGTACCTAGATATTGATACTTATGAAGAGAGACAGATAAAAAACTTCAAAATGTAATATAATGATAAAATAACAAAACACATACCATGATTATAGTTTGAATAATCAACTCAACATTTATATATACATTGTATTCAAATTTAAATCATGCAAATAAATATATACATGTATTTTAATTCAAATAAATTCCTAAAAATATAGATTTTTATAAAATGTATAAGTATTAACATGATTAAATATTTCTCTATTACATTTAGTACTGATCACATCAGAACAGCCGGTGCAAAGTCCTTATTTTGGTTAAATTTTTTATTCAATTAATATCATGGAGAGTTATCTTTCTTTCTCAAGTAAATTTGCATTATCTTCCCTAAGTGGAAATCTTTTGTGTGTGAAGAGAGATACTTCCCTTTTTGTGCAAGTGCCATATATATTAATATGATTTGTAATTTTGCTATCTTCTTACTAAACAAGGTTTTATTTTGATTTGTGGCCTATTAACGTGAAATTTCTTATGTTTTTAGAGAACTTTTGTATAACCATACTTTTTAAAAAAAAAAATTGAAAAACTGGTTTGGTTAATATTTGTAAAATATTTCTATGTTTTAAGCATATTTCACCCGGGATTTTTATGTAAAGTTTTGTCACAAGATATTCATTTTACTTAATAATAATAAACTTACAGTGCATATTAGTAATTTAATGATATTCCTGTAAAGTTAGTGAGAAATTTGTATTGCACACTATTAGTTATTGTCTTTTTTTTGCTTGGTAGTATAGAACATGCATTTGATGTTTTGTTTATCTGGGTTTTTTTTTTTATCTTACTTGACTCATTCATTCATTCAGTTCTCATTTTAATAAATATGGAACAATTCGATTTTGTCTTGTGAGTAGACTAGCTTAACTGTGAGCTTTATCTACATGTACCTGTTCCTGACAGCTTAATATGTGTATGTGCGTAAGTAAGGTTTCCATGGTTTGTCAATCTGTCTGTTAACATTTTTTTTCAAAATGCTACTTCCACTGTGGGATGTGGAGACCGGTCCTTCGGATGAGACCGTATAAACCGAGGTCCCATCTCACAGTAGGTGCTGGCACGAAGAAGATCCCTCACTGCTCAATGGCCCTGATGCCAAGTATAGGTCAAAATTTGCAGCTCTCCATCGGCAAGTGATGGCATCTCCACATGAGTGAAAAATTCTCAAGAAAGATGTTAAACAACAAACAAACAAAATGCTACTTAATTAAACAGTTTGATTTCACTAAGACTTACTTCACAGGTAGATAAAACTTGGATACATAAATCTGGTTAATCTACTTATTGATTTCTGATTTTGATGAACGATGCTGCCATGGTTACTAAATATAGACGTTTCTGTGAAATGTCAAAACTACACCTCTCATGGTTTTGATCCAATTTCAAAAAGACTTAATACATGTGTGTACATGTAGACAATATGTCGAAAAGGTTGTTGGTTGGTAGCTCAAAGATAGGAAAAACTCTTCTGTTTTGTACAATGTTTATTTGAACTCTGATCTAAACTGTAGTAAAAATCTTTTCTCACACAGACTTGTCACGTAGGCATATGTAGTGGCTTAGATTTCTATTTCATAGCCCTCGTTTCGTAAATTATATTTTACAAGTATTTGTTGGTATTTCAGTCTGATAATTCTATTTACCTTATGTTTTCAGTTGTTACTTACGTAAAACCCCGTTATTATTTGTCTTTTTTAAGTTAGGACATGTGTTGACATTCCACATGTTTTACTTTTTAAACAGGAAGTGTCATCCATGTTGGGAGTCTTTCCATAGTACTTTTGGTAGCTGTGTTCTGATTGGTTAACTTAGCTATAGAATCTTTGATGTTTATTGGCTTTTATATTTGGGCCTATAGCTAGGGTATTTAAAGCCGTGTTCGTGTAGTTTTCTTCACTTGGGTTGGGGAACAGACCTAATGGTTAGTTCCTCTTTACAGTGCTAATAAAACCTCCTGGTTTAAACGCACTTATTTGCTTAGTACCCTTTAGTAGTGCTAACAAAATCTTATGATTTAACAGTACTCTAGGTCTTAGCTAGCTTTAGTTTCACGTTTTTCACAGATTCTAGATTTTTTTTAGGAAACAGTTAGGATGTAGGTATAATAGAATAAATTTATTTTCCCCTTTCCAAGTCAAGCCTGGTCTAGGGATTTGTAGATAACAGGTATAATTCCTAGAACCACTATTTACTATTTATTATTTATTTTTGGTGTTGTTTATTTTCTGGGTCAGTTATTTTTAGAACCTAGAATTAGCATTGATATTTTCAGTTCAACTCTAGAGTGTTGATAGTAGTCATATTGAGTGATGTAGCTCATTCCTTTGACACTTTTCTAATTTATTCATTTAATAGGATTTTTGACCTTTTTCATAAGTATGGAAACTCGGTAGGGACATAAATTATTTTCATAGGTTTTTCACATTCCTCCCATTTTTCCTATTAAATTTTTCACAAACTTCTTATTTATTTATTGAGATTATTGTTATTCACTTGCCAGATTAAATTATATTTTTGTTAAAACTATTTATTCCTGTGCAATTTTGAAAGACTTTATTCTTGTTTAAATTTTGACTATTATTTATTATTTGTTATCATTTACAAAGGTTAATTCTCACTTTATTAAATTTATAAAACTTACAACTGTGTTTTCATTTAGCGTTGATCATAGTTCAGATATCCCCTTACCTGGGTTGACAATCATAACTGGAGGCAGTTAACTGCTTTAAGCCATGTTGGCTATTAACTTTGTTGATTTATCTATTAAAGAGTTCTACTTCCGGTTACATAATTTTTGGTGCCGTGACCAGGATATCTGAATAGAAACCATGACTTCGCTAAATTCAGGTTCTGATAGTGTAGGAATAGCTACATCAACCCCTAGAGTTGATAGGTTAAGTTCTAGTCAAGGTGCTAGAAGTAAGCTTATGACAAGAGTCAATCAGCCCTCTTTGTCCTCTCCTGTGAGTGAGACTGAGATGCATGAGAGTGATTTAGATACTAGCATGAGTTCACAGATTTCAGATTTAGAACAAGTGCTGCAGGACCTCACTACCGACTATGAGAGATGTAAGCATGAGCTGGAGAAAACTCTAAGACAAAGACGTCATGTGTCATTTGCTGAAGGTAATGATAGGGACAGGCAAGCAAGTCAGAATAAAGTTGTAAGAGAGACAGTGACTCCCTTAGATAGAGTGAGAGCAACAGAAAGTTTGAGTACCTCACCTGCACAAATAAACTTTGCACAGAGAGACAGAAGTGAGAATCTCAGTAGGTCTCAGACAAATATGTCTACACTGCCCAGTACCCCTGTAAATCTTGGTAGACCTAAACGTAGAGAAAAAGAACCAGACAAGTTTGATGGTAGAAATGTAGCATGGCAGGATTACTTAGTTCATTTTGAACAAGTGTCTGACTGGAATAATTGGTCATATGAAGAGAAGTCTCAGCAATTAGTTATGTCATTAAGAGGGGAGGCACAGAAAATTCTAGGTGACCTATCTCAAGAACAGAGAAAAGATTATGACAACCTTAAGTCCATTTTGTCTAGCAGGTTTTGTCCTAAAGAATTAGTTGTTGCACATAGAGTAGAGTTTAGATCGCGTCTAAGAAAACAAAATGAAAGCCCTTCAGATTATGGATTTGCACTTAGGAGGTTAGGAAACTTAGCTTTCCCGGACATGGCTTATTCTGATAGGGAAATTATTATTTTAGAGCAATTTATGAGTGGAATTGGAAATTCTGAAATTAGATCTCATGTCATTTTACATCATCCTAAGACTTTAGAGAGTGCCATTTCACTAGCAACAGAATTCGAAGCAGTTAAAGGGCCACAACTCTTCATCACTAAACCTAGTGTAAATAGTGTTAAGACAGAGAATGAAAATACACATGTTAAGACCTCTGATGAGTTATCAAGCTTAGTTCAAACCTTAGAGAAATGTGTTAACAAAATAGCAAATTCTTACCGGGGTGGTAGAAAACAAACAGGGAAAGTGATAGAGTGTTATAAATGCCATCAGTTAGGACACATAGCAAGAAACTGTCATTCACACAACACTAGTGCTAGGGTAGAGAAAGATAATACATCCCCTTCTCACACACCATCAGTTAGAGATCAGGAAAACTTGCCAGGGTTACATTGGAAGCCCACAGTGTGACCCAAAATTCTGTTGATAATAGGGCTACTCAGAAGCTAAGAGTTAGTGTGTTACAAAAGTCCTGTTTAAGTGTAGGCTGTACTGTAGGAGAACATGTAAATAAGTTTTTAGTCGACACTGGTTCTCAGGCTTGTTTGATAGACAAAGATGTTTTTATGACTTTTGAGAATAGAACCCCTTTGAAACCTTGTGTTTTGTCATTAACCACAGCAGATGGTAGTGCTATGAAAGTGTTAGGGAAGGTTGACTTAGAGTTTAGAATAGGAGATAATTTGTTTTGTCATGAGTTTATTGTTACCGAGTTAGGAGACTTGTGTGGAATCCTTGGGATGGATTTCTTAGAGAACAATGATGTGACAATTCAGGTTTCTAGGTGTCTCATGTTGATAGGTGGTCAGCAAATTCAGTTAGAGAGGGAGACAACTCCTATTTGTGCGAGAGTCAAAGTAGCAAAGAACACAGTTATTCCCCCTGATTGTGAAGTTCTTGTACCAGGGTATGCTGTAGGTGATTTGGACGCTTCTGTAAATAATTTGTTTGAGCCGTTCAAGTTTTTAAATCAAAAGGGTCTATTAGTTGCTAGAACCTTAGTCAATCCTGACAAGATTTTATTTTCTGTTGTAAATATTTCAGACAAGGCTGTTAGGATCAATAAGCACACAACAGTGGCTTCTGTACAACAAGTTGACATTGTAGAGTCTGATAAGTCTATGAGTGATCTAGTTTCTTCAGAACTCCCTGAACATTTGCAATCATTGTTCGATAGGTCTTGTGAGAGGTTATCTGAAAAAGAGAAATTCCAGTTGTTAGAATTACTGATACAGTATCAGGATATATTTGTTGGACCTGATGGTAGATTTGGGAGAACAAATCTTGTGAAACACAGTATAGATACCGGTGATTCTAAGC